GAGAGAATAAGAGGGAGAAGGAAGGATGGAAGGAAGGAAAGAAAGGGAAGAAATTAAGAAACTAAAGTCTGCCTACATCCCAGGGAGTGATGAAGACGCCTGCACAGCAAGGTGAGGCACGGTATCTGTTGACATCCCCATCTATGGAGGAATGAGCGGAGCATCTTGGATCAGGAAACCTTCATTCTAGACTCATTTTGCCATAAACTGCCAGTGGGACGTTAGGACACCCTGCATCTCTTCAGGCTATTAACCAGAGGCTCTCTCTGGGCCTCCAACCGTCCTACATTTATATTTCATGGCTGCTCCCAGGAGATGCTCTTTTATCCTGGCATAACTACCTCCCTTCCTCTCTGGTGAGGAAGGATCCCTGATCTCTCCTAAAGATGCAGGAAGGGTGTCTGAGCCATTTCTAAAAGCTCTCAAGGGTGATAAGAGACCCAGGTCACTTCCATTTCTGAAATTCCCAATATGCCATGGAATTAAGAGACGTATATTCTCACATGCTTATATTTTGCAAATGACTCTTATTTACAACCACAGTAAAACTTAATTTGGGAACAATGTCAAAAGTCTCCATTTGAGACCTTTTACGAATCGGGAGGCCTACGGTGAAATGTCCCACCTGCTCCTCTCTCATAAATCTGGTCATTTCAGTACCACCAGGAGCTTAGCACGTCGCTGTCACATGGCGGATAATAAAGAAGTACTTGCTAAATGAAAAATGCACACATGGATGAATAAACAGTCTGCATGTCCTTGGGCTCTGCATACTTCATTAGGAAAATAATCAGATGACAAAATGGTTATCTGAGAAGCATGTTGATTATAGTCAGCCCCCATGACTGGGTAGATGCTCAGAAATCACCTTTAATCTACGGATCTAAGGGACAGAAATAAGACTCTTACCTACTAATTAGAAATAATACCCCAGTTTTAGCTGTAAGCTGTAAGCCTCCAATACCAATCTTTGACTGGGATACATTTTGATCATTTCGATTTACAATGAGAAAGGACAGAATTCTCCAGAAGCCAAAGACTAGGTCCCCTGAAAGAACACCTGCCATGGTTTTATTCATAAATGTTTTTGAGGGGATTAGGAGAAAACAGATGTTTAAGTAAACCCTTACTCACGGGTAAACAGGACACTTAAAGACCAACCAAAATGTTGGATTTGGAAAAACCCCAAGATCACGCAGCATGGTCTTGATGTTACAAGTATGTATTCCCCACCCAAACAGTAGCTATTGCTCTCAAAGTTTTATTTTTCAGCCAGTGTCTCCTGCTAGATTTTCCCAATGAGGTTTTCTCATTGGTGGCTAGAAAGTGGAGAGTCATCTTGGAGATACAGGGGAGGGAAAAAAAAAAGAGAGAGAGAGAGAATCAGCTGCCAAAGGTATTGGTTGGTTTCCAATACCTCAAAATGGTAGGGTCAGTTCTCAAGATTTCCCATAAATGTGCCTAAACCGCCTGCGCAAATCTGTGCTTCAAATCCATAGCCCTTGGAAGGAAGAAAACACGACTTGACATGTACCTTCCTCACAGAGTTCATGGAGAGAATTAATGAGTTAATAAGCATTAAGCATTTTGCAAGCCACAGGTGACTGGCAAACATTATTAGGACCACATTTTTCCTACCAAAATGGTTAAGGTTTTGAACAGATGGTAGAATCCCAGGAGAAATGTCCCCTTGTGATACAGGAAACTAGATGCCCAGTCTCAGGTAATAGGCTGCCCATAAAAATGCCCTAGGTTGTCCAGTCACTAGTGGCAGGGACAGATTTACACAATATGAAGGCAACAGTATCCCCCAAAGCACTATTAAAAGTAACCGAAGTAATAAGCAATTCCAATTAACGGTGGCATTTGCAGCAGCAGCAGAAACACTTTGGTGAGGCTGATGTTTCCCTGAACTCTGTCCTTTCTCAAGTCTGAAACTTATTTAGTTGTTTTGCAAACTACAGCTCTGTTAACAATGCATGGCCATTTGCTTTGGCCACATCCAGACTTTATGTGCACATGGACATAATCTAGTCAAACTGCAATCACTGTACTTATTTGATACAACTCAGGTGGTTTCCAAGACTCCCGTTAGCAGGGAAAATACAGAGTTATTAAGTTCATTTTAGGCTTAAATATGTCTCCTTCCTGGAACATTGCCTCCTAAGTAACTCTATTTACTCTCAAAGCACAAATCCTGTGAAATGGCTAAGCAGCTAAAATTTATTGAAGGATCTTCTGTACCCTGCAAAATGATATTCTATTTATCTTGCAATGTGGCATGCTTAAAAGCTCTAGAATGATCAGTCACCCAAAAAGGGAAAAATGCCATTTGCTTTCAGGAAGGCAACAACCTCCAAATTAGGGAGTTCCAACCCCTCATTTCACCAGGGTTCTAGCACTTCTGCACACGTTTCCATTTCCAGGACAAAAGAATTCATCTTAGCAGGGCTGTGAAGAGTCGATTTCAGGAGGAGAGCACAGAGGTGGGGCAAACACTCAGGAAGCTATTACAGGACATCGGGAGAAATATAATGAGATCCTGAAAGAAATTAGTGGCAGTGGTAATTCAAATGTGGACTGACTGATTACCTAGTGTGTCAGGCTTTGTGTTAGGGGTTGAGCTTCCATTGCCACAAGGGGGGTTTCAGTCTCTGTGAGCACCCAGCACGCACATAAATCACCATGAGGGGCCCCTGGGTGGTTCAGTCGGTTAGGTGTCCAACTCTTGGTTTTAGCTCAGATCACGATCTCAGGGTTCTAGGAATGAGCCCCATATGAGGCTTTATGCTCAGTGAGGAGCCTGCTTGAGGATTCTCTCTCTCTGCCTCTCTCTGTCTCCCTACCATGTCTGTCTTTCAAGAATAAAGTAATTTTTTTTTTTTGAAATCACCATGACATCTCTTAACTGCTATTACTGGGGCATAAATAAAATGCCCCCAAATCACAAATTGGGAGGACGCAGAGACTAGATAGTAATGACAAACTTCACAAAATGACACACTGAAAAGAATTTCACTCATTTTTTTAAGATTTTATTTATTTATTCATGAGAAACACACACACACACACACACACACATATACATACACACAGAGAGGCAGAGGGAGAAGCAGGCTCCATGCAGGGAGCCCGATGTGGGACTCGATCCCAGGTCTCCAAGATCACACCCCGGGCTGCAGGCAGCACTAAGCCACTGTGCCACCGGGGCTGCCGAATTTCACTCATTTAGAAGGAGGAAAGTACATTTCTTGGCAACATGCAACACATGTTTGCCAGGTCAATACCTGTTGAGTCACTGATTCATGCATCCATCCAATCATTCCTTTTTCATGTGTTCATCAGGCCTCTCCTGTGCTCCAGGCTCCACATGGGCCCTGAACATGTTATACTGAATGAACCCCAGTGGGGACAGATGAAACAGTGGTGGATGTCAGGCTATGAAGTTTCACTTACACCCTGATGTCACTAGGGATCCAGGCAAGGATTCCTGAGCTGGCAAATGACATGATCACAACTTCTATCAAGTAAAATTGTTTTGGCCTAAAAAAATTGAAAATAGAAGATCAGAGAGGCTGATGAGTGATAGCATAACCATGAAGACATTGCTACAGTGGAGAAACAGGATGGTTAAGACCCGACTAGGACAAGGGCAGTGGGCACAGAGAGAAGTGTAAGGATGTGCAAGCTGTCAGGGGACAATGAACAGAGCTCTAAGAGATGGGCAGATACAGAGCATCCGAGCCTCAGTTTCCTGATTTGGATCAGTAGGAAAAGTGTGAGTTTATTCCCCAGCTGAAAGGCATTGGAGGAGGTACGTTTGAGCAGGAGAGTGAAACGTGGCTGGGGGCATGCCACATTTGAGAAATGTCTGGGTCATTCATGCAAGAATGTCCAGTGGGCCTTTGTGGAGTTCAGAATAGTGGTAGCAGCTAGAGATAGGGATTTGAGAGTTGTGTGCAGCTAAGTGACAGGTGAGACCACAGAAGTAGAAAAGCAGCAAATACAGACAGAACCTTACCAAAGTCTATTAGAGGCAGATGGGGGATGATGATTTAGTGAAAAAAGGTAAGTGGCAAAACAGAACTAGGAAAAGCTGCTCTTATGAAGTCAACAGGCAAGAGAGTTTCCAGGAAGAGAGCTAATAAGTAGCAAAAAAAAAAAAAAAAAAAACACTGAAACACAACCTCTTCTACATTCCTTTCACCACCACTCCCCACCACTACCACACCAAATTTGTGTGTCCCATTTGCAGACACATCCTTTAACATCTTTTCCAGCTATGCCTGAATACTGATCTGTGGCTGTGGTAAATAGTTAAGTCCAAGACCCCATTAACACCAGTGCTGGTGAGACTATCCAATATGATCAAGGGCTAGAAATCTGATTGGGCTCAAAGGAACCCTAAGCAGTAAACATGAAAATCCTTGTCCTTATGGATGACAAAAAGTTTTTGTAAATTGTGAATCAAAGTCATTGGCTTAACAGAATTCCAAAAAAAAAAAAAAAAAAAAAAAAACAAAACTGAGTTATAGCAATGCTGTGTTTCCAAGAAACAGTAATGGTTTCTTCAGCTCCCTGTCCTACTCTTTGGATAGTCAACTGCAATTTTCTGGAAGGGGTAAGCTACAAAACCAAAACAAGCTGGTGCCACCAATGAACATCAACTGATAACAGTCTTGGTTAGTACTTAAGACTGAAGAGAAAGCATTTTATCTGTGAGATATCTCTTAATTTTTTCAAGCTATTAGTATAGACATTTTTCCTTTCATAAATGTAACATAGGATATTCTGAGTTCAGTTTGTGTTTTATTTTATCTCATTTAAAATAAACAAATGCAGACAGAAAAATATAAAAGAGCAAAAACATAATAACTCGGGCCCAATTTGAGCTCGAGTAATTAAACCAAGCTCTTGTCGTCTTGTGTTGTGCCCTGTGGAGATCATCTCATCCCGGGTTTCCCTTTGAGTGAAGCTAAAGCCTTTTTTTCTCAAATTAGGTCCCTAGAGAGTGAGAGCCCTAAAGAGGCCTGTTGACCTACAGGCTATCAGGAATGTCTGCTGAATCAGTGATTCCTCACTTTAAAACAAGTAAGTGGTGGGGAGTGAAAAGATAATATCTAGAGTTGATGTCAAGGAAATGTAGCATAAGCATATTATTAAAGTTAGGGTGGTAACCACTGAAAGAACTAAATATGGAAACTGTTACAAGTGGTTTCCTCTAGGAAGTGGGCTGGGAGCTAGGGGCGGGGGGAGGGTGGGGATGGATGGGGCAAGAGACTGTGCTTTTCATTCTAAGACATTCTGTACTTTGCAATTTTTTTAACCAGTGGCATTTGTATTTGAATAATATGAAAGTGAGAAAAAGCAATTAAATATCACTATTGCATGTATACTTACTTCATCTTGTGTAATATACATTTTTGGATATATACCCACAAAGCAGAAAGAGATTATTTTTATAAAGAAAAAGACTGAGAAACCAGATATATAAGTTAAGGCCTAAGGCCACAAAATGTATAGCCAAAGTAAGAAGCCACTCTACTAGGTCTGTATTTTATCCACGGGTTATCCAACTGCCTTTTTTTTTTTTTTATGAATCTCACAAGACAAGAAGTGGATTTATTCTTATTCAGGAAGTTTCAGACTATACTATAGGCCTTCCTGGACAATTATTCTATCACATTTCAGCCTTATTTGACATCACATATGTTATAGAGAATGAGCACCTGGGTGGTTCAGTTGGTTAAGCGTCTGCCTTCAGCTCAGGTCATGATCCAAGGGTCCTGAGATAGAGCCCCTGGGCTCTATCCGAGCAGGGAGTCTGCTTCTCCTTCTCTCTTTGCTGCTCCCTCCTCCCCACCCCCTCACTCATGCTCTCTCTAGTTATCGCTCTCAAATAAATAAAATCTTTCATAAACAAATAAATAAATAAATGCTACAGAGAAGAAGGAAAGTACCATTGGCTAGGATATCGAATTGGTTTCCTAAAAGTCACGGAAGGAGGTACAGTGACACCCCCATATGACCACCTCTAACTGGCCAAGTATATCAATCAGCTGCTGCTGCTCTAACAAAGTATCACACACTGGGTGGCTTAAGCAACAGAAATTTATGGTCTCCCAATTCTGGAGACCAGAAGTCCAAAATCAAGGTGCCAGAAGGGTTGGTTCCCTTTGAGGACTGTGTTCTGGGGCTTTCTCAATGGCTACGAGATAACCAACTTCTCCCTACATCCCTTCATATGGTTTTCTTTCTATGAATGGCTGCCTGTCCACATTTCCCTTCTTCTAAGAATTTTATTAAGTGATACTGGATTATGGGCTCACCTTGCTCCAGTATGACCTCTCTTAACTAATTACATCTCCAACATTTCAGTTTCCAAATAAGGTTGTCTTTTGAGGTATGGGGAGCAGGGAAGGTTAGGACTTCAACATTAATTGGTGGGGGAGGTGACATAATTCAACCCATAACAAGATGACCAAATCCTTGAAGTTTTCCCCCATTTATAGAGTTTACAGAAGATTTTTTTTTCTGGGTACATATCCCATTAAAAGTTAAAATCAACTGGAAAACAAGATTTACTAGCTAGAAATTCATTTTATATTACCTAGTTTTGAATCCTCCACTAAGTAAAATGGAGATTGCTAACCATAATATTATTGCCTCTAAGTGAATAAGTACTCTAGGATGCTTTGGGACCAAAGGAAGCAATAATGATTTAAATTATAAATAAATATGTATGCATTTACACACACAAAATGTTATAAACAACAGCTGTTCTACAACAAAGTCCAACATCCAACAATGTAAAAGCATTCACCTAATAACTACATTAAAAGAGTCAACCCTCAAGTGGCTACATCACATTTTAGGGGGGCCTGTCAATTATAACCGTGCAGCTGAATGAAGTCTCAGCCCCTTAAGCCGGGGAAACACACATAAAAATTTAAAATCCAATTTACTTTTTCATTTGACTGTGATATTTACCTTCTGCTTTTTACTCAGAAAGAAAAACAAGGACAAGAAGCTTCCTTTGGATTTCTAGTCAAATGTTCTACAGGTCTTGACAGCAAGGGCACATCACAAGACACTTAAAAGGGGAAAAATTTCTTCTTCTTATTAGGTCTGTCTAATCAATAGTTCTAAAATAAGCAATTGTTTATTAACCTAAAGAGCTTTTGCAATTGTATCTAACTTGGGACAACTATTCTGGGTTAATTTTGAAAACAAGTGCTGGCAGCAAACTAATGGAGAATAGCAAATATTTCCCATGAGAGTAAATTATATAAAGCTGATAATTTCCCAAATACACCTACTTCTCACCCTTGGCTGGTTTCTGCTACTTCATTCATTCACTCACTCACTTTTCACTGAGTCACTCAACAATTATTCACAAATCCTAACCTCCAAGTAGGTCTCTTTCCTCAAATTTGTAGTATTACTGTTTAGAATTGGAATGCATTGTTTAAAATAAAAGTAATATTACACATTAGACTCAGTCTTGCATATTCAGTAAGTGCCCTATGTAATCACAATGAGATCAGGAGAAAAAGTATGTCAATACCTATAATTAAAGCATAAAACAAAATGAATTATGCTCTGTCATGAAAAAAAAACTCTTTCTCCTTATCTTTAATCTTTTTTCAAACACTTCCTCCTTCTCCTTCTACTTGCCCTGACGAAAGCCTGGCTTTCCCTTGAAAATACCACTTCCTTTGTTTTCCTTTGTAACTCTTTCCAGTTCTGCGCCACTCCTTTGACTTCTTTCCACCTTCAAGGGCAAAGAAGAAAAATCAGCAAACTCCACATTCCCTCCTGCCCCTTCCACATACTTGATCCCCTACAATCTTCCAATGAACTCTGCCCCTTAAGCTATTCAGAGGTGTGGAAAGTCATACTCATGACACCCTTCCCAGGGAATGTGCTTAGAATCCCTGCTGAGCGAGCAGCTGGTCATGTGGCCTGCTTTCCTGGACACAGCTATCTAGACAAAGGAGAGACACACCTGACTTAGGTCACACCAATCAGAATCCCTCTCTGTCGGGAATTTGGAATTGCAATACTCTTCGCATAAAATGCAAAATGATGTTAAAAAACAGCAGGGCAGAGGAAATACATACATTCATATTCATCCATTCATCCTTCAATACCTACTCATTGCCTGAGGCTAGCCAAATACTGAGGCAAGTCTTCTATTGCACAGTGTGGCAGGAGGTAAGAAGTAGAAGAATTTAGCTGAAGCATAGAGTTTACCTGGAAAGTTAGAAAAAAAAGGCTGGGGCTGAAAGTGTAGCAGGTTCAGACAGCCAACCAAAGATTTGGGTTCATGTCGCGGTTACAATGACAAAGTAGCTGGCATTACAAAATGTTTTTGAACTGGTTCATGGAAAGAAGTCCTCTGCTTTTCCATCACTTGCCTTTTAAGACTCATACCTTGAACATAACCAAAACTGACCAAAATACAATTCCAACCCACCTTTTTTATTACTATCTTTTTCACCATGGTTCTCCCGGATTCAGTGCAAAGCAAACTCCAATGGAAGAAGAGAGAACATGGACTCTGTAGGGCTCCTCCTCCCCTGGATCATAAACACCCTGAGCGAAGGTGCTTCGTTAGTAAGCTTCTATCTCTGGAATTTGCTAGAACACTCGGAACACAGGAGATCTGCAGTCAATATGCACAGACCAAAACTGAGTAAGCAATATGCATCGTGAGCTTGGAGATGCAACTGGGGTAGAATGAGTTAAAAAAAAAAAATCACTCAGGATTTCTGAAAGAATACCTTGCTGGGTGTGGAGAGTAAGTCTGGGAAATGTGCTTTCTTTGGCATAAAGAGGGAGTTGGAGGAAAAAGGTAGAAGGAGAGCCAAATACTTTCAAAGAACAACATTATGTCCTAAGGATAGAGTGATTTAACGGTATGCAACACACCTGTGCTTGCCCAACGGCACAATGATTAAGAAATACTGTTATCGCCTTCAAAAGGAAGTTTTCTGAAACATTAAATATGATAACTTCCCAGTGGATTTTTCCATAGCAATTGCAGCAACCACTTCTAATCATGCTGCTAAAAAGATAAGGCAGGCTGGGGTCTGAGAGAGAGGACACAGGCTTCCTGTGAAGAAATGCTGTCCCCAAATGTAATCTATCAGCACACCATCTATCAAGTGTTTCACTCAAGGGACCAACCCAACTTCAGTTCAAAAACTTCTTCCTATCCCCTCACCACTCCGTGCCCCCCCCCCAAAGTCCTAGGCTTCTGACAACCAGAATTATAAAGATTTGGACAGTGAGGGCACAAGTTGTTGTGCAAATCAGCTAGATAACTTCAAACTCTACATTGTTTTAACTAGTCAAATACCGATTTTCCTAAGGTGATTTTTAAAAATCCCATTTACAAGACTCTAGAACACATTAACAATCAAAGATTTAATCTGAATTTTAATGCTGCTACCAAAGAACAACAAACTCCCGCCCCCCAAAAAACTGGATTTGTTTTGTCATCTTCGTATATTTGTGAACTGAAGCACCTGAGAAAACCTTTTTTTTTAAAGAGTTTATTTATTTATTGAGGAAGAGAGAGAGGGAGAGAGCACCAGCAGGGAGAGGGGAGAGAGAAAGGGAGAAGCAGACTCCCCACTGAGCAGGGAGCCCAATGTGGGGCTTGATCCTAGGACCCCAAGATCATGACCTGAGGTGAAGGCAGATGCTTAACTGTGTCACCTAGGTGCCCCTCAAAGAACTTTTATAACTGTGACTACCTCACAGTATCTTACTCAATGATAAATATATGCTTCAACTTTTTAAAAAAATATTTTATTTATTTATTCATGAGAGACACAGAGAGAGAATGCAAAGACACAGGCAGAGGAAGAAGCAGCCTCCCTGTGGAAAGCCTGATGTGGGACTCGATCCCAGGACCCCGGGATCACGACTTGAGCTAAAGGCACCCACTGAGCCACTGAGTCACCTAGGTGCCCCATCTTCAAGTCATTTTTCATATAGGTCAAGCATGATTTAAAAAAAATTTTTTTAAGGTGTGGAAAGAAAAAAATCCCACAACTGGATTTAGTTGTGACAATAATAGGGTAAGATCTAGGAAATGAAATCTTCTCCCCATCTATCTCCTTTTCCCTTCATGAATCAAACTGGAAGAATGAGCAAACAGCTGGTGGATTCAATATGAAGACTGGCTACATCACCACCAGTAAGCAAGAAGCTGGAGAGACCTCAAGAGATCCTTTAGACCACAAGATGTCCTGAAGCCTGATACAACTCACTAACTTCCAACAGAATGCTGGAACGAGGATCTTGCTGTCTAAACTTCTCTTACCACGGCTCTCAGGCCCCACCTGCCCAAGTTAATTCACAACAGAAGAAATTTCTCAGGCCTCCCATAGAAAGAGGGAGAACCCCTTCTTTCAAACTAACTGGAGGTCCTCTGTAGAGTCTTAGGCTAAAGAAAGCTATTGATTGGTTCATCCATTCAGCTAGTATTTATTGAGTGCCCACTAAGCTCCCTGTAATCCTCTAAGCATTGGGAATACAGCTGTGAACAGGGGAGAAGGATAAGAAACCCATCAACAACATACAGTACAGTATATGTGTATACAGGAGCATATAAAAATCTGTACTTTGAGGTGCAGAAAGAAAGCAGGGTAAAAATATAAAGGGGTTGTTATAACAGCTAATAAGAATTAGCTGTTATTAACAATTAGTTTTGTAGCTATAATATCAAGATGCCAATTCGTCAATTCTCAGATGCTAACTACTTCAGGTCATGATGGTAATATTAGTTTTTATTAGTCATTCAGTCAGTGCTGATCCTGGAATTATGGTCACTTAATTCCTTGCCCCTTGTGACCATTTCTTAGCTGCTGCTTCAAACTCTGGTCCCTCTAAAATGGGGAGGAGGCACAGTCTTTGGAGAAGGAATCACACGCTCATTCTGTGGCTCTCTTGTTTTGAGAAGGGCCTGAGAAGGGCCATGGCCACGCCTTCTGAGCAGCTTCTTGGTTTACTTTCATGGTCACAAAACCATTTTCAATGATCCATCTCCCAATTAGTCTCTCTCTACTGACTCATGGTTTTGTCCCTGGCTGTCTGTAAGGTCACAATTTTGAAAGCCATGTAAATCAGGTTGTCAGCTCTAGCTATAAAACATAGGATGCCCACGTAAATTTGACCTGTAGATAAACAACAAATACATGTTTTAAGATTTTTACTTCTTTATTTGAAATAGAGTGTGCGGGAGAGAGCATAAGTAGGGAAGAAGCAGAGGAAGAAGGAGAAGCAGACTCGTTACTGAGCAAGGAGCCCGACATGGGGCTCCCAGAACCCTGAGATTATGACTTGAACTGAAAGCAAACACTTAACCGACTGAGCAATCCAGGTGCCCCAACAAATATTTTTTTAACATTATTTATTTATTTGTTTGTTTATTTGAGAGAGAGAAATAGTGTGAGTGGGGGGCAGAGACAGAGGGAGAAGGAGAAGCAGGCTCCCCGCTAAGCAGGAAGCCCGACATGGGGTTCAATCCCAGGAACCTGAGATCATGATCCAAGTCAAAGGCAGATGCTTAACCAACTGAGCCACCCAGGCACTACCACCCCCCCAAAAAATATTTTTTAACAGGGTATGCCCCATGCAATATTTGGACATATTTATACTCAGAAAAATTATTTGTATCAAATAACCCTATTTTATCCAGTAACCCTGCATGTGAAGATTTTGGGAATTAGATGAATGATTTCAGGAGCCTGAATATCAAGTTTTGCCTCACACAAAAAGAAAAATTGCTCCCAAGTAACAGTACTATGGCAAGGCTAGCACACATGAGAGCACAATTTAGCAGTGCCCTATGTACCACCACCACCAGTAACAACCTTTGCCAATGCCTAGCCCTGTCAATTTTGACTAACACACCAGAGAAATTTATTTGAACACTTTGCAAAGACAGATGGTCTCATTAGACACTTGACAAAAAAGAAAAATCGTGCTGGATCTCAATTACTATTTGCCCATTCCCTAAACTCCCTGCCAAATTTTTATGAGATGTATTCCAACGCCTCCCATAGGAGGTGAAATTGTTTTGCTAGGGCTGCTAGAGACAAGTGCCACCAACTCAGTGGCTCAACCCACGGAAGCATTCTCTCACGGTCCCGAAGGCCGAGAGTCGGTAGTCAAAGTGTTGGCAGGGTCGGTCCCTTCGAGTCTGTTCCAGACCTCTTCCAGCTTCTGGGGGTTTCCTGGCAACCTTTAGCATTTCTTGGCTTGTAAATGCAACACCCCAATCTTTGCCTTCATGTTCACATGGGATTCTCTGTGTGTGGGGTCTGTGTCCAAATCTCAACCTCTTTATAAGGACAGAAGTTATATTAGACTGGGGGACCCCCAACCCCTCATCTTAATCAACCATGTCTGCTATGACCCTGTTTGCAGATGCCACATGCTGAGGTACCAGGGGTATGCACTTCAGCGTATGAATGTGGAGGGGACACATTGAACCTGTAACGACAGTAAATCTGTAAAAGCATCAGAAAGACCAGAGGGGGAAGCCAACACCCAGCAAAACAAGTCTGTTTATGGAGGCTGACAGGCAGGGTGTGTGAAGTGAGAGGTGCCCAGGGCCTGAGTCCTGCCACAGGAGTCTATGCCATGCCAGGGGAGGCTGGCAAGTGGACAGGTGGACAGAGGGAGGCCACTCCACCTGGCAAGGATGCCATCTTCACATGACCTGGAAGCAGGCAGTGGTAGACAAGAACGACTTCCTCTGGCCTGGTTCAGGCCCTGCCCTGGCTCTGCAAAACTGTTCCCGACGTTCACGATCCCTCCCTCATTATATGCAAGCATTCACTATCTGTAACACTCCTCTGGCAAAAGTGCTGTATGCATTTTCTTATGTACATTCTGTCCCTACAACTATGGCAAGGGAAACTTCTGGTTTTCCCAAGGTATATTTTGCCTGCGTGTTTTACATTAGAGGCACACAAGGAGGCAATTATGAACATAACCAAAAAAATAAATAAATAAACTAGCTGAGAATGGAATTTTACACATCAGTGTCTGAGATTCCTTCTGTAAAAAGCTTGTTGTCTCGGATAATTCTTCCAGGCTTTATGGGCCTTTTCAAAAAATACACAACGTGAGTTCTTGGAGCAGTTAAAAAGGTATATTAATTATTTTTCCCTGATAGCCACAGAGCGTTAAAACTACCATACTAGTAACCTGGTCTCCTGTCATTTCATGACTATTGAGGCAAATTTATGGAGAGTACAGTCTCTGGAAAAATGAGAAATAATGATCCTATGACATGAGTTATATAACTCAAAATAAGATGTATCCATATAAAAATTTTAAAGCTTTTCAAATATTTGAAAACTAGTAAATCCACTGCAAAATTCTATTTTCCACATTTTAAAAGGGAGGATCACCTGGCTTAGTCAACCTAGGCCCTCTTTCAACTGGGGATAGAAATGGGGCCTGCAGACATTCTCGAGCAGCTGTCGACCCAATGCTATGAATGTTATTTTTACAGTCAATAAGTCTCACCAACCAAAGCTGTTTGTTTCTTATGTTTTGGTCAAATCGTGTCATGTTAGGGCCATGGCCAATGACCAACAGCAACTGCCAATGGGTCAATTCTCTTTAATTCTCTAAAGTTCTAAGATGGAAAAGACCTGACCCCTTCTCTTAGAATCACAGTCTATTACGGAAAGACAAATAGACAAATAGTGCATAAAAATAGCCAACACTGGGTAGCACGGGTGGCCCAGCGGTTTAGCGCCGCCTTCACCCCAGGGTGATCCTGGAGACTCAGGATCGAGTCCCATGTCGGGCTCCCTGCATGGAGCCTGCTTCTCCTTCTGCCTGTGTCTCTGCCTCTCTCTTTCTCTGTGTCTGTCATGAATAAATAAATAAAATCTTTTTAAAAAATAGCCAACACACTTTGAACTCTTTGTGCTAGATACTATATTGAATTCTATATTAACTCGTTTAATTCCCACATCAGTCCTATAAAGAAGAAAGTACTATTGTCATCTCCCTGTTTGCTACAAGGCAACTGAGTTCTAGGCAGGTAAGTCTTCTGTCAAGGTCACATACCTAGTTTGTCCACTTTGCTCCTGCCCACTCCTTATCTAAAAATGTCAATAGGACTGAGGTTGAGAAACACAATACTCCCTTTCGGCTCAATTAATCTAACTTGTGCATAATCTTCCTACAGAAACTGCAATCAACTAACTGGATCTGCAAGACTCTCTATGAACCACACATTTAAAGAAATTAAAGATCAGACGTACGTAGCCAGAATGTTGCTTTGCAAACCTTTCCGAGGACAGTATATTCCATCTTGATCATGCCTGAACCAGCCTTTATGAACAGTTTTGGATGGAAATGTGTCTGGATCTGAGTGCAGCCCATCTTCCACTTGGATTATTTCCTCTAAACACTTTTAAATTAGGCAATGTGGGGGACACCTGGGTGGCTCAGAGGTTAAGCATCTGCCTTCTGCTCAGGTCATGATCCTGGAGTCCCAGGATCGAGTCCCACACCAGGCTCCCTGCATGGAGCCTGCTCCTCCCTCTGCCTTTGTCTCTATCTCTCTCAGGAATAAACAAATGAAATCCTGAAAAAAAATTAGGCAATGTGGTTTTGCAGGAGCATGTTAGCACATGTCTCCTCTGCAGTTGGGTCTACAGGCAGAGAAGGCTGCTTACAGGGAATGCCTGTTCTCTGCCCAGCGGCATCTTTTTTTCCAAGCAAATATTCTTGACCTCACAGAGATGCCAAACAGCATTACCAGAGAAGTTAATGCCCCCAGTAGTAGCCCTTAACAAAAGATGAGTGGAGAGTTGGTGAGTAAGTTTTATTTGCTTCTTTATACCTCGGGTGGAAATAAGCCAAGTGCCAGAGTGACCGAGTGGCCCATGGTGGGCCCTTGATGGGCTCATTCCCTTTACTGTCTTATGTCCCCACTCTACCACCAGTGCTTCCTAGACTTACAGCCCAAATAAATGTCTTACCCCTGAGATCTGCATCTCAGGTTCTGCCTCTAGGGGAATACAAAAATGGAACAAATCTCAAAATAGATGAAACTATTAGATATGCACAACACACTGAAAAGTGAAGCAGAGAGAAAGGAACTTGGAGACATCCGAGTCAATACTGGTGGGAAAAAAATCTCAAAAAACTATTAATACACTCAGAGAGATCAGCAAAGACGTTGCATCCACAAAACAAGAGGATGCTATTAAAACAATGAACAATGAGAATAAGAAAATGTTCTTGGAACTTAGTGATATGACAGATGAAATGTAAAAAAAAAGAAATCAATACAAGAGCTGCAGATAAAAATCTAGTAATTCTCCATGAAAAAGAACAAAAAATAAACAGAGAAGGACAACTGGAGAAAAACCAACAAGACAGAACAAAAGTCAGCTTATTTTTCAGTTCAGTATCAATGCAGAGGTCCAGCATCCAACCAGAAGAATTTCTATGCAAAGAAGCAAAGAAAAGGAAGGAGAGGAATTGTCAAATAAAAGAAGAAAATGTTCCAGAACTGGGGTGTAAGAGTCTTCAGACTACAGATCCTAGTCTGCTCATTAAATGGCTCTCTTAATGTCTCAGTTACTTTTTTTATGACACTCCTAGACCCAAAGAGATACCTTCCAATTCAGTGTTTTAAGTAATTAAATCCAAACAATAAGTACATCTTCATATCCTAAAAATTTAGCACCTGTTGGGCATTATACAACTTCTCAAAACTTGGGATCAATCATATTAGATATTGCCACCCTCATTTCCTATTCCATACTGCTTTTTGTTTTGTGTGGTACTTGTTTTTGTTTGTTTGCTTTGAAATCATAGCAACTTCAAAAAAAAAAAACAAAAACAAAAACAAAAGAAAAAAATAAAACACGGTTTTACAAAGATATTACATCATGGTGGAATGTAGCAATCTAACAGTGAAACTTCAGTTGATGGTTTGCCAAGTGTCCAAAAGATAATCCTCCTTTCCTTGAAATTTTAAAATATTCCATGGCCCTTTTGTAAGTTCACTGGGGCACCGTATGGCCCTGTGGCACACAGTTTGGAAACCATAGCTTTAGCCTATCTGTGCCCATCAAGGGCTTAGAAAAATGATTAACAAAAATCCCACACCAAAGCCAATCACTATCTATAACTCAGAATATCAGTGATAAAAAGAAAAACTTTAAATTACCAGAAAGAAAAACAGGCTATGAGTAAAAGAAAGAATGAAACATCTCATCGCAGAAAGACTTCACACAGAAACTCCGAAAATGCTGAGGGAAAATGCTCATTCAGACTTGTCTCACCCAAAGTATCAGTCCAGTGAGAGAACAGATTAAAGATATTTTCACTGATTTACCTTTCACACATTCTTTCTCAGGAAGCTATTGACAAATGTGTTCCAGCAAAACTACGGAGTAAAGCACGAGAGGTGACAGAGGATAGAAGAAAACAGAGCCCAGGACAGCCTGAGGAAGATGGCCATGCACCAGACCAAGAGAGAACCAGTCCCCGGGGGCAGGGTAGGAAAATAAACAGAATGGATATGTGATCTGACCTGTACGAGCATTTGAAAAAGAATTATTCCTAGAAATTTGATACATCTAGTGCTGTTTTTTTGGGGAAAAATTTAGATAGGTATATGAAAATTAAGCAAATGGCAAAAAAAAGAGAAGCTCTTAGTAACTCAAGAAACCTGATCACAGAATATTCCATGGCTAGAAAATGGAAGAATATTGACATGATCACAATTTTATAAAAACTAATAGATTTAATCTATAATGGCTGAAATTGATATATGAAGCAGCAGTATATAGGCATATTATTTGGAATACTAGAATATATATTTATATATATTAGAATTAGAGTATATTATAATATTCCAAATATACTATGCCTATACTGCTATTAGTATATATATTTTAATAAAAATTACTAAATTAAAAACATATTCTAATATTCTAGGGGAATAGTAGAGAAGGCATTGGGCAAAGGAATGCTTTAATAAGCACATAATAGCTATTAGAATATATATTTTAATAAAAATAAGTTATTAGTTAAAACATATATTCTAATATTCTGGGAGACAAAGAGAAGATATTGGGGAAGGGTGGGCAAAGGAATGCTATAAGCATATATTATTCTGATTAAGACAAATTCTAAACATAAAATAGAGAACAGAGGACAATATGTGGCCATTGCAAGCAAAAAAGAAAAATCATTAACCTTGATTTTTGTTGCAGATAAAAAGCTTTCAGACAAAAACATTTGAAATACAGTAGTATCCCAAATAGCCAAGTAACTACCTATATTTTAAACTTCACTTTGCTTATGTAACCCTACCATACAAGTCACCTCTTCGGTAAGGCATTCCTTTGCCCGCCAGGTATCCTTAGAACCTTTAGCTACTCCAGAAGTTCTGCTACTTAAGCAAAATGCTTGTTAAACATTTATGTAACATAAATTGTTTTTATTAGAGAATATAGTTGCAATTTATATAAATGTGATTTATTATTCCACACTGGTCTCCCTCCAGAATGTTCGATTTCAGAAAAAGAATTTCATCTCATTCCCCTGTGGATTTTTCCTCCAATCTACTGACAAGGCACCACCTTACAAACATTACAAGAAAAATTATTTTAATAACTAGCTGTGTAACTATGACACACCATATGTCATCAATCCAAACTGCCCATTTTTTTTTCACATTTTATCATTTCTGATTTGAGGAATGTGCCTTAACATCGCTGGAGGCCCAGATGGAAGCTGAGTTCTTGCAGACAGAATTTACAACTACTCCTATCATTCATCAGGGGCCCTCTCAATCTGAATCCACTTTACATTATCTGCCTACGTATTATTTTTAACTTACACTGACACTGTACGGTCAGACTTCAATATTTATCAGAACCAACTTGCAATTCAAAATCTTAGTGGACATATTTTTTCTTCCTTCTACCAAAGTCAAATCTCAGATGTGTGAGTTCCTTTGTTGTCCCTTCCTGTGTGATAAGTTTTTCACTTATCCCTATATGGAAGGGATGGCCCCTGACATTACAACTTTAAGCAGGCATCCTATTAGACACCTCATCTTAGACATTATTTTTTTCTTTTTCAAGGGCACATAAACAATGATATATCTTCCACTGGGTTGTCCCTTGGATTCCATTAAATACAGTATTAAATAAAAGAATAAAAACTACAGTATGATGCTGGCTTAGTAACCGTTATAGATATTTCACATTTGTAACAAAAGAAACATTTGGGCTTCTTTTGGCTAAGAAGATCCCCCACATCTCTATAAGTAAGCACTAGACAATTTTTGAAAGAATTTTGAATTTTGCTGTGTAGCTTAAATCTGTACTTGCCCACTTTCCCTTTACAAAACACTTTTCTGCATGTTCCTGCATATCAGCATTTTAAGACAAAGTTCACATTTGCCCACCAAAAACCACAGCAGCCTACGCTGTGATTTGGTTGATGGAAAATATGTGACGTTACTAAGAATCATCAATGAAGTATGCCCTTTGTAGGATCAAAATTCACCTCTACAAGGCAAACCAACTCTCCCATGCCATCAGTTGCACCCTTCAGTTCCCGAACATGGCAAATCTCAAACTGTCCTTTGTGTCACCCAAAAGACTTTAGATCACATATGAAATGACCCCATCATTTCACTTATATGCTTGAACCTTCTATCTGCAAATAGTACTTAGCTAAGCATGCAACATGACATATTTCATAGTTAGTAAATATTTAGTGCTTACTACGCTCCAGGCAATGAGCTAACCACTTTACAATGAGCTAACTTTTGCCCTTCACAATGAACCTACTGATTAAGAAATTGAGGCTTGTAGGTAAGTAACCTGCTCAAGCTCACACAGCTAGAAAGAGGTAGAGCGAGAATTTAAGCCTAGATTGGGTAAATCCAAGACCCACTCTCTAAACCACTGCATGATACAGCTTTGAGAAAAGATACAGATGCAATGAAACACGGGGACACCTGCACCCCGATGTTTCTAGCAGCAATGTCCACAATAGCCAAACTGTGGAAGGAGCCTCGGTGTCCATCGAAAGATGAATGGATAAAGAAGATGTGGTCTATGTATACAATGGAATATTACTCAGCCATTAGAAACGACAAATACCCACCATTTGCTTCAACGTGGATGGAACTGGAGGGTATTATGCTGAGTGAAGTAAGTCAATCGGAGAAG